TAGAAAGCTGTCCATCAATCCACCTGGATGATCTGGAGAACTGGAAAGAGACCTGAGATGACATGATGTGAATTGGAGCTATAGAAATAAACTGAATAGAATTGAATTTGTCTGCATTCTTTACAGAGCAGAAGAGTTTCCCTTTGTTAAAAGGGTGCTGGGTTGTTGTTTCTAGTGAATGAAAGTTTTCTTATTCACTAAATCTGTTCTTCTCTTTCATGCATTTATTATATTCAAATGCATTTTTTATCTTTACTCTTTTAGTCTTGCAGCTTTAGTTACTGATTTTGATTCATAAAATGATCCGCACCTATCGGATAAGCTACTTTGCATAATGATTTTTTTTTCTCTGCATTCTTGCAGCCCTGTGACACAATGGTGGGTAGATAAGACAATGCTTAGTGCAACAGCAAACACTGACAGGCCTTCAGTTAATAAAAGGTTTATTTATACAGGAACAAAAATATCCAAGATTTATAGTTGGAGAATATATGTTTTCCTGTGGAGTTAAGATAATGAGACATTTAGGACGGTGGGAGGCCAAACATTTGGGCCTATGTGGGAGGAGAGAAGTCAGGGATTGGCCAGTTCATCTGATGTGAGAGGAGATGGCAGGCTGTCCAAGGCTCCCATCTCTGTGAGGACAAAAAAAAAATTAGTGGCATTCACCAAACACCAAAGTTTTACACTTCCTATAGAGCCCTGATTGTTTAACGTGTGCCTTAGCTCCAGCACAGCTGATAAAAATGCAGCAGAGAAGCAGCTACACGATGCCCTGAGGACCAGGGCTGCTTTAGAGCACATCTGTAACTCTGCCGGTCAGTTGGTAGCCATTCATTACATTGGAAAAAATACTCACTGGCAAACTATTTCATTTACCTACTCAAATTGAGAGTAAAAGCACTCAATTTAAGAAATTCTTACCTATTTCCAGATCATTTTTCCAGTGTGTTTTCCAGTTATTTTTCACAGTGAAGCAGCAGATTGATAAAAATGTTCTAAGCCGGTGTTCTGTCAGATCAGCATACCCCGTCAGACCAGACTACCCATAATCAATCAACATGAGCAAGACGTGAGATTTGCAAACACGTATGCTAGTCCGAATTATTCCTTTAGTTTATCCCCGTTTAGCGCTTTAGTTTTAGTACGAAAAATATACTTTAAACTACTTCGATGGTCCGGACGTGTATCCCTTTAGTCATGTATAAAAAACAAGTTTAAGGACAGATCGCCATACGCTTAAAAAAAACACCAGAAAGTAAGTAATTAATAGTTTTTTGCACATGACTAAAGGGATACACACCCGTTGAGGTAGTTTAAAGTTTATTTTTGATACAAAACTTAAGGGATAAACAGGTATTGACTATGGGTATGCTGGTCTGATGGGGAATGCTGGTCTGACAGAACACTGGGCTAAATCTGAGGAACTGAATGTGCTCCGGTTGGGATTAGTAAATGATAATTGGGATCAGGGCTGTCGAGCTCGAAGCTCTGCTGCTTCTGGTTGGGGTACCTATCAATAGGACTCTTTCTTTTTATTGAAGTTTTTACTTTTAAGGATCAACTGAAATATCTGCAAATAAAATTCCAATATTCTGAGTTCCTCAGGTTGTCAGAAAAGCGTTTGAACTGGTCAGGGTCATGCTGTCAGTTTCACTGCGAAGATTAAGAATCTGTCTTCCTGTGGTGAGTGAAACGTAACTAGCATAGCGTGAGCTAATGGTGGTTGATCGTACCTTTAAGTTTGAGGTAGGACAGGAAATCGATGACGGTGTGGATGATGTCTTCATCTCCTATTCGCAGAGGACCTAGAAAGACACAGCAGCAAAGGAAATGCCACCGTTACATTTGGTCTGCATCAAACTAGAAAGAGACTATCACTCTGACTCTATGGGGGCATCAGCCCTCCTTTACGTTGTTGTCTGCTGGGCCCCTGCAGCGCAGAGCGGGACAGAAAGAGACTGAACAAACTGGTTTCTGTCCTAGGCTGGAGAGGAGGGTGCTGTCCAAGCGTCCAGCCATCATGGAGAGGACCTGAGCAGCTCCTTTAGTCAAAGACTTTTACAGCCTGTTTGGAAAAAGGAGTGCTACTGCAGTTCATTCATCCCTGCTGCAACCAGACTCTACAATGCAACACTACAACCACAATAACTGCTGTAATGGGGAATGTGAAATTTATATTTAATGCCATGTGCAATAACCTGTTTCTCTATATTTGACACCCAGTGCAATAACTGTGGCCGTTTCTCAACTTGTGTACTTCCGTGTTCTCTTGTACTCGTGAAACGTCATCAGCCTCAGCCCTAGAAATGTTCCAATTCACAAGAACAGCAGACCGAGAACAGAAACAATTCCCCGGATGTTGTTCTCGCCCCTCCCTCTTTACCCAGCATGCATCAGAGCAGACTTGACCGTTCTTGAGACTGACATCTTCCTTGTTGCACTTTCTCCAGCGCCATGCAGCTTTGTCATCACACCCTCAAAACCCCGCCCGCTTAGCATCCAAAAATTCAAAACACATCTCTGCGTTGTGATTGGCCCGCCAGTTCTAGGGCCGGGGACATTGATAGAGGCTAGACCACTCGCAGGCAAAAATGGTTTTGGCCGCTGGCAGTTGGGGCTAGTTTACTAGGCTACGTTTTAAGGTAATTGAGGCGAGAGCATTATACTTTAAGCGTCACCATAAGGCCCATTTACCAATTTAATGTGTGTTTTAATAAATAATTTCCCAAGTTGAGAGGACCGTGGCAACCAGCGGAGCTCCTAGGTTAACGGCTGCCAGGTCTAATCCTAGCCAGTCTGCAGCAGTCAGAGCTAACGTTAGCCCTGGCTGCTGCAGACTGGCTGTCACTACCTGATCCGTCCCGGAAGCACGATCTGTTCTGTGCATGTGCCATCAGCTCATTTGTGCATACAGATATACAACTGGGTCGTCCTCGATTTTTTTGCTAAAAAGACCTAAATTATGTTTTTCTCTCCCCAAAAACAGTAAACATTTTACAATATAATGTGTTAAATGTTAATAATGTATTTCCTGAGGAAATAACTGCCTTAAAGTCCTTTCTGTTTTATCCCTCGTCTCTGCCGATCTGCACAGGAAATGGAATCCTACGCTACTTCCAGTGGCTAACTTTTTCGACTTTGGATTTAAAATTAAATTTAGTCTTTTTTTGTATTTTATGTTTTTGTTTCGTTTTAATCTTATGCTGTATAGTGCGTAATCTAAAATGCAGATAAACATGGTTTAATCATATTTTTTTTCAATGATCAGTGATTCAGAGTCATCTTCATGTGAATGTGCTTTACTGGAGGCATCCATGTTTGTTAAAGAACACTACTGCCACCTACTGGTTTGTGACGTCACGGTGCGGTATCGGCTGTTGATCAAGTCCCAGTGCTGTTACTATGGCAAGCCTTATTAACATAAATTCGGTTTCATCTGACCATCTATAATTACCTTCCAGATATCTTAAAATACATTTTGACTATCCGGAATGGTATT